GCCTAGGAATCATAAACAATAATGCAGTCAATTACTAAGGAACTGTGCATGTGCCAAAGAGACTGCATCCTCACCTCCATAATAAACAGAAGAGGCTGAATCCTGGGGCAGATCCAAAGGCAAATAGCTAGCTACACCTAAAGACATTTCTGAAAAGAAGACTTTACCTAAAGAGATCTCCACAATAGCAATAAAGCTACCCACTGTAAGTAATCTACAAGCCCCAAGAGAAAAAAACAAACAAATCAAAAATGAGAAAATATAGCAGCAAAAAATCTCTACAGTGCCTTGCAACTCCCCCAAAGCAAACCCGGGGGAAACATGGGGGAAAGAAATAAAAAACTACACACCTGAAATATCTGAAATGGAAGCAGTGAAAGTAAATTACCCTAATAAAACAAATGATTAGTACTCTAGAGAAGTTCTAATAAAAAATAGAGAAGCTACAGAAAGACATGAAAACCATGAATGCCCAACATAAAAAAGAACTGGAGTTTATAAAACAATTTCAAATAGAAATCCAGGAGATTAAAAACTGCTCGAAAGTATACACAAGAGGAGGGATAGCCAGAAGGAGGAAAAAGGAATTAAGATGTGTTATGTACACGCACCAACTCACCATGAAGAATGTAATCAGTATGCACTGCAAATATGTACTTTAAAAAGTCAAAAATGAAAGAAGGAAAAGATACACAGCAGAATTGATCAGAGTAAAGACAGAATATTTTACCAAGAAGACAGGGTTGTAGTTGGCGATCAACTAACGATAGATGCCTTAAAAAAAACAAGGGACCATAAAATATCCATCCAGCAGCTGCTTGATGATACAAAGAAGACTAATGCATGATAAACTGGAATCAACAAAAAAATCAGAAAAATATCACAAATGGCATAAAAACCTGTTTACAAAACTAATAGCAAAAAATTTAAGCACAGAAAAAGAAATTGTAATACAGGTGAGTCATATAAAACCCAAAATTGTTATGATCAGAAAAGAACTACATCAAGATATAATAGTTAAGATTCCAAAAATTCAACACAAGAACAGAATATTAAAAGCTGTTATGGAAAGAAAAATCACATACAAAGGAAAATCCATCAGAATTACAGCAGACTAAAGTCAAGAAGAGATTCAAGTGTTTCATGCCCTAAAAGAAAACAACTTCTAACCCATACTAAATGCATGCCACAAACTTATCTTTTAAAAGATGGACAAATAAGATACTTCCATGATAAAACACTTAAAGAAATGCAAGACCACCAAACCAGCACTCCAAAATATTCTCAAGGATATCCAAGAAAGAGTGAATGAAGATAACGTGGCCAAAAACCCTAGTAGAATGAATCACCAGTCAAGTCAAGTAATTAAAACAGAAGGTAAAAAAAGGGAAACAACAGCAGGAACATAAAATAATGAAATGGATATGGCAATATTTATCTCTTATATCCATCAATGTGAACGGTCTTGATTCACCAATCAAAAAAAAAAAAAAAACAGACTGGCAGCATGGATCAAGAAGCAAGATCCAACATAAGCATGTACATACAAAAAACACATTTAACCCAAAAAGAAATTCAGAGACTGAAAGTCAAAGAATGAAAATCAATATGCCTTGCAACAGGAATCTGGGGGAAGAAAAGAAAAGCAGTAGTAGCTATTCTAACTGCAGACAAAATGGATTTCATGCCAAGACTGATCAGAAGGTACAAAGCTCACTACATACTGGTAAATGGAACAAGGAAGGAAGTGATAAAAACATAAATATATATACACCACATACCAGCACACCCAGTTTCATAAAACACACTAATGGACAAAACAATCACCAATATAATTGTAAGGCATATCTTAATACCACTGTCACAAATATATCAACCACACAAAGAACAAAAGTCAGCATTGAGGAGCACATGGCACAGGTACACGCCGCCATGGCCACCTCCGCCCACAGCATACTTTGGACCTTCTTTAGCCAGCAGAGTTCCCAAAGTGAAGAACAGACCTGTCTGGATGAAATGATTTAGAAGACACTACCCGCTTCTGCACAAAGGAAGAGAGAGAGAAGTGAACAAACATCTCCCAGCAATCAAAATCCCAGGCAAGACCAGAAAGGGGTTTCCGCAACTCCTTCCTCAAGTTCTTTAAAAAGTCCACTGGATCAAAATACAGGGAAAAAAACTAATGAGAATCCTTCAATGGATCTTTCACCTATAAAAGATTTCTTCAGGAGCCAACTTGGTCTTGCAAATGACTTGACAGAGGAACAGCTGTGTAGAATATACTCAAAGTTGTATTCTCAAGGGTCTTCTCTCTCTTGGTGGTTGGCACCTTGCTGTTTGCAGCTAGCCATGAACAGCCGGCTGCCATGCCATCCTGCCACTTGAAGCCAGCTGAGTATGGACTGAAACCTCTAATCTGTAAGAAATAAACCTTCCCTTCCCTAACATTGAGCATCAGCTATTCTGTCTCAACAATGAGAGAGAAAAGTAACCAAGACACTCACTATCACCACTCCTACTCAACATAATTCTAGAAACATTAGCCAGAGCAATTAGACAAGAAAAATATACAGAGAGAGGGAAAAAATCAAATTATCAGTATATACTGTTACATGATCTTCTACATAGAAGACCCACAAAACTCTGACTCCTAGAATTAACCAAATTCAGTAGTGTAGCAGTACATAATTAGGACTCAACAATCAATAGCATTCCTGTACCTCAATAACAAACTTAACAATTTTCCTAACAAGTCAGAAAATCAGTACCTTTCACAATTATGTTAAGAAAATTGACGTACTTAAGAATTAAACTCAGGAAGTGAAAGACACCTACAATGAAAACTATAGTACTAAAAAAAGAGATCAAAAAGGATACCAGAAAATGGAAAGCTGTCCCCTGTTCCTGCATAGGCAGAACAAATATAGTGGCAATGCCCATACTCTTCACAACTTTTATACAGATTTAATGCAACCCCAATAAAAATACCAATAACATTGCTTACAAACATACAGAAAAAATTCTCAATATTCACCTGGAACCAGAAGAGACCTAGACTAGCAAAAACAATTCTTGGCAACAAGGGCAAGGCAAGAGGCATCACAGTCTCAGAATTATACTACAAAGCTTCTGTGATAAAACAACATGGTATTGGCAGAGAAGAGGGGCAGACTTGGCTTTTTCTCAATGAAACAGTGTAGAAGATGCAGAAACAATTCCAGGAATACTCAGCTACTTACCTTTGACAAAAGGGCCTAACACCTTCACTGAAGGAAAGGTGGCCTCTTAAGCAAACTGGGAAAACTTGCTATTCACCCGCAAAAGACTGTATCTAGACCCATATCTAGATCCATATCACCATTCACTAAACTAAAATCAAAATAAATTGAAGATCTGAATATTAAAACAGAAACACTGATCTAGGGATTTAGCTCTGTGGAAGAGCACTTGTCTAGTGCATACAAGGCCCTGGGTTCACTCCCCAGCATTGCTAAACTAACTAATAGAAAACGTCTGCTGGAAGACAGAGTAAGTAAAACTCTTGAAGACATTAAGTATAAAGATTTTTATGAACAAACTCTGGGTGCACAGGACACATTACAAAGAACCAATAAATGGGATCACACCAAATTATAAAAAGCGAAACAAAAAAACACAAAAAAAGAAACAAGAATGAAGACACAACCTACAAAATGGGGTAGGGGGGGTGCCAGATATTCCTTAGTAGAGGACAAATACTTAGAATATATAAAGAACTCAAAAGAAACCAGACCCTCCCAATAAAAAAAAAAAAACATTCAAAAATAGGCAATAAATAGATACTTCTCAGATGAACAAGTACAAATGAACTAATAAATACACGAAAATATGGAAACAACATTTTATAAGTAATCTTAAGATGACAATAACAAAGTAGTGGAAAGAAATGCAAAGACACTGAAGACAGTGTTGCTTAAGATTATAAAACTGTCTGTCTATGGGGCTGGGGGTTTAACTCAGCAGCGTAAGTGTCTGCCTGGCAAGTGCAAGGTCATGAGTTAGATCCTTGGTACCAAACAAACAAACAAAAATAAATGTTTTTCTAGGAAGTTCAGAGTACCACAGCCACTAAAAACAGTGACACCGGTGTACAACTGGAGACCTAGGGAGATGACTAGGTATAAGAATAAGAGAAACATAGTCTTTCCCATATCTACCTTTTAAACACCAAATAATTTTTTTCCAAAAATACTCAACTGCTTTCCTCAGAAAAAGATCAGAAGATAGTTCTAGAAGTAGCTTCTAAATATAGCACATTCCTTAGTCATTCTCTGCTTCTATACAGGACAAGGAATTTGCTGATTTTCATTCACTACAAAAGATAAAGGACTGTGCCCCCAAGTCTCTTAGTATAAGTCTTCCAGGCCCACCATTGTTCTCCATAGCTTAATCTAAATTAATGATGGGAAAATTGAACACAGATCCTTAACATTGACTTACTTATTAAAAATCAAAAACATTTCAAATTCAGGGCTTCTCATTTGCCAGGCCTGCGGCTGAGCTAAATCCCCCGGCTCAAGAATATTTCAATAGTCAGATACTAGAAAAATTCCACAATGTTTGAATCAAATGTGTTAACTAATAAAACAGGTCAAGTGCTGAATGCATGCATTAACAAACCTCAAAGAACTCAAAACCACACAAATATAACATGAAAATTATTTTCCTGTCCTTGATTAAACATAAAGAAGAATTTAGGATACTCGAATAGTAGCAAATGTAGTTAAAAGTAAACATCCTTTAAGGGATTTGTTTTATAAGGTATCTGCCTCTCTCAACACCATGCCTATTTCCAGGCCTCTCATCCATTACATTCATTTTGGATACACAACCGTCATGTGGACTTACGACAATCCAATTCTGGCAACGTAAACTAGAATTAAATCAACCATAATCATGTCATGCTCTCCAGAGTTTCAGAAAGCTATACTAAATGAATAACCTCTATATGAAATATTTACCTTCATCTTTTAATTGGTCAGCTTTTCCCACATCTTCAGGCACTAAGTGTGAGAGGGGCAGAATGTCATTCTGAAATTAAATAAAAATAAATACACTTCTATTTAGCTGCACAGAGTCATCTTGGAAGTCCAAAAATAAGATAATAATAAATTACCCACATTTTAGTAACTCATCTATAATTGCATTTCATGAGATCTAACACCTCAGTAACAGGGTTAATAAGAAATGGTAGGTGTGGGAGTACTCTCCTATACTTTTATTAAAAATATAAATATATCATGTTTTTCTAGATGACCATAGGCAACTGTGAATTAAAGTTTTAATATTTGTTTTTCCAGTCAGAGACAGAAAGCTGGCCAGGAAGAGAATCAAGAAGACAAACCACATCTTTCTATGAGCTAGCAACAGCCATACAAGATGGGAGAAGAATCAAAAAGCTAATTCACACTTTCCCATGAGCCAACTGGCACACAGGCTGGAAGACAAGAAGAGCAACACTACCCCTTCCCTGCTAGTGGGCCCCCAACTGGCTGATTTGGAGGAACTCAAGCTAAGATGATACCAACTGAAGTAAAAAAAAAAAAAAAAAAAAAAAAAAAAAAACCTTAATGCTTGCATTGTTTGATTGACTTGGCAAGATTAAAGTTGGTAGTCTGAGCATCTGTTTGGAGGAAACAATATGCATCGTAGCAACTGTGGAGGAATTCCTTCTGTCTTGCTTTTGAAATCTAATGTTTTGTTGTTTGTTTTATTTTATTCCTGTATCTGGTAACCTGAGCAATATTTTGAAGATAACAATATGCAATATAGTAACCACTGTTAAATTCTTATCATCTTGTTTTGAAATTCTATATTGCTATTCTTGTTTTTTGTTTTTGTTGTCATTTTGATTTTATTGTAGTATTTTTGGTTTGTTTGCTTCTTGATTTTTCTAGGGTTTTTTTCTCTTTAAAAAAAAAAAAACTTTGCTTTTCCTCATATCCAGAAATCTCACTTTATGAACACGAAAATGGAATTTAAATATAAAGAACAGAATAAAAATATAATCACTGGATTATTCATGGATCTTTTTCTTTCCTTGGCAGTACACTAAGTGCTGAGCTATACCCTATCCCTTTTATTTTGAGACAAAGTGTCATTGAATTGTCCAGGCAGCCCTCAAACTTCCAATCTTCCTGCCTCAGGCTCCTCAATAGCTGGGATTATTACAAGTGTGCATCAGAACACCTGGCTTATTACTGAAACTTGGGAAGCAAAACATTTACTATTTAAGAGATATACTAAGTTAAAAGCAGTTTAGTTTTTTTAAAAAATCACTTATAATATGGTCGTTATTTATATGTATGGCTGTGCATGTACATACACACACAGATATAAAAACAAAAACTGGAAAGGAGTATACCAAAAGATTAACAGTAGTAGTAATGTTTGGAAATAAAGCCCTCAAGCTTTCTATCTTTGTATGTTACATGAAATTTTAACACACTGAGCAAAAATTTATTCTACTATAAGATGACAAACATAAAATTTTGTTTTAGCACTTAAGTATCACCTTCAATTCTCTTCTGTAGAATAAGGCTCAAACCAAAGGTGTTTATTAAAACTGAATTGAAATTTTGGAAATATTTTCAGTGGAAATAGAAATACGATGTACTTTTCCACTTTCAAAAAAACCTTTTTTTAAAAAAATCAGGTTTTATAATGTATGCCTGTAATCATAGCACTTGAGAGGCTGAGGGAGGAGGATTCCCGCGAATTCAAGGCCAGCCTGAACTACGTTCTGGAGACGCTATCTCAAAAAAAAATAATACTAATTAATTAATTACAAATACATAAGTCAAAAGACCTTTTTAAAATTGCAATGCTTTTAAACCTGACTCTCATATTCAGAGTGAGTTTATAATTTTCAAGAAAGCATAACTTGCAGTTATTATATTTCTAGACTACATTTAAAATGCATCTCCTATTACTTTTGCCTTAACTGAAGTTTCAATAAAATGTATGAATTTTGGTAATATACTTTGTCAATTATACACAAATGCAAATCATTGACAGAGTCTGAAGTAGGGTTTCCTGAGGAGGCTACAGGATCAAAGAACAAGACCCCTCTTAACCAAAGGGAAGCAAAACGGGGTTGGTAGCCTGCTGAGAAATAGACATACAATATCTCTTTATAACTTGTCATATAATTAGTTTATCTGGCCACGGGTATAGATCAGCAGAACACTTACCTGGCATTTGTGAGGCCCTGAGTTCAAATCGCCAGAACCATACACACACATGCATGTACATGCACACATGTGCACACACACACAGTTTGATGAGTTTATCTTTACCTGTATTATTCTTTCTCTAAGAATAAAAGGAGGGAGTCAGTAGTTTACTGCCAAATTTCTGTCTTTACTGCAATTCTAAGAATTTTTCAACAAGTTCTATAAACACAGCTGAAGAATCAATCTAAATGTGGTATTGTCAGCAATTTCCATCCTGAGCTAAAGTGTTGCTCTATTTTGTTAATGGGGGTGGGGGGAAGCATGTCAGCGGCTGAGGACTAAACACAAAGCACTCTACCACTCTACCCCATGCTGAACTTTATACTTCATGGGTCAGCTTTATTCCTGAATCCTTCAGTATGTATCAAACTCAAATACAGAGCTAGGAAAATAACCGAAGTTCATGAGGCACGAAAATAGAACAAAAAAACACATGCAAGGTCACCTGGGCTTGCCAGTCTCTAGCCGTAAGGTTAGAAGATAGTATAGTCTATGTTTCCTAACAAAACCAGAAATCAGGGACATATAAATAGTCTGAGCAGGAACCAGAAAACTTGAGTGGCAGCCTTAATTTTGTACACTGATCATGAACATTGATGTTTCACAGATCCTGCACACTGATCTGTTCTACAAAGCCCAATCAGTGACCAAATTTGATGGAATTCACTTCAGAAATGATGATTCAATTCCAAAAAAATCTATTTCTTCATATTTGCTTTCTAGATAGTAAATATTTTATTTTTCAATAGTTCATGTTTTAAGGGAATATCAGTTTTATTTTATATTTTTTCCAAATCCATTTTATTTCAAGGAGAAAATGCTAAAACAAAATTTCAAAACATGTCAATCGGGGGCAACAATGGTACATTCACTGCATATTGTAATCCCCCAATCAGAATATCAGTCTTAAAAAGAAGTTGGAAATCAAAAATATATATGGTAAAACTGTAAAGGACTTAAAAGTCAACTAAGATATATCATTAAATATAAAAACTGAGAGAGTAAAAAATAAGCACTTCATAACATGAAAAGCCAAAGGACATTTAACAAGTTATCTTTTAGATCTCAAATTAGTTCCATAAAAAATAATTCATCTTACACCCAGAAAGAAGTTAGTGACTTATAAACCTGGCCCTGCAACCTTTAACAATCTAATATGAAATCATAGTCACAGTTGCATCAGACAGTAATGAGGAAACAGTGATAACATACCTTACAGCAGGAATTTGTGAACATTTCTGTCAAAGGCTGTGAAACTGCTAGATGTGTATCTTCTGGGCTGATCTTAAACACCGTCTCCAAGCACTGAATTGCAACTTGAAGCAAAGTATAATAGTGGGGGGAAAAAAAAACCAAGTTAAAAAAAGAAACAGCTTTTTTTCCCCCTCATAAAACTGCAATCTGTAGTAAATCAGGACTTCTGATCACAGAACACAAGCAAAATTAATTGGCTGTTGCATAGAGATTTCTGTTTATAGACCAGATAGTAAAGAAAGACATGTTTTCTTATTCCTCATTAAAAAATAAACGTTATTCACAGTAAAATTTCTGTATATAATATCATATTCTTGTTGAAGGCTACAAGAAAGCAAGCCATTGGGGCTAGGATTTAGCTCAGCGGCATAAGCACCTGCCTTGCAAGCAGGCAGTCATGAGTTCGATCACTGGTACCAATAAAAAGGAAAAAGACAAAAAAAAAAGAAAGAAAGAAAGCCATTAACAACTTAGTTCCCATCAACATCTAATTAACCATTAATGTCTTAAGGCTTTGAACAAACTTAAAATATTACATACACAGTATGAATACACACACACACAGACATATACATGTGCTTTTTTGAGACAGAACCTCCCTGTGTGTTCCAGACAGGTTTTGAACTTGCTGTGCAGCCCAGGCTGTCCTTGAACTTTTGATCTCCCTGTCTCAGTTTCCCCAGTGCAAGGATTACAGGTTGCTACTACCATACCTAATTCTATATATTGTTTAAATGTGAGAAACAGATTTATAAATCTGAATAAAAACAGCAAGATACACATTCCTAATACATAAAAAGTATTAAATACCAATCCTGGTATACTTAAGGGAAGTTAAATTAACTGAAAACATTCATTCACACATGCAAATTTACCAAGTACCCATTATGTGGAAGATGTTGTTCTAAAGTGACAGTGAAACAGTAAACATAACAAAAAAAATTGCTGTCTGCACAATAAAGTTTAATTTTAAAATGTGTATGGTGGCATGTATCTATAATCCCAGCACTCTGAGACTGAGGAAGGAGGATTGCAAATTGGAGCCCAGCCTGGGCAACACAATGACTAGCAGACTCTGACTCAAAAAAACAAAAACAAACAAAACCCAAACACACCACTTTACATGTCATAGAAGGGGGAACATAAGTAAGCTATCTGTCACGTTGAATGCTAACAGGTGACTTGTCTCTTTTTGGTTCAGGACAAGATCACAGGTTGGCACAGCTAGGGTATAAACTGAGTACAAAGACACAGGAAGAAAAAAATGATATAATTACATTTGTGTTTAGAACTAAAAGTCAGGCAAAAATGTTGAGAATGGATGAGTGTTAATATCTCCCAAAATCTCATGTATTCAGAGGCAGGTATTTTTAAAGACGATTGAATGTACTTTATCAATTATCACTATCAATGATCAATCTATGGATGAGCTAATAGCCTAACAGGCTGTTGGGGTGTCCCTGGGGGCCCACCTTTGAAGGGTATATCTTGTCTACCTCTTCCTTGCTAACTCCGCCTTTTGGCTGCCAAGTGAGCAGCTCTCCTTTGCCACTCCATTCTGCAATGCCATTTCTGCCTCTGATTCAGCCCACTATAGACAGAAGCCTCAGAAACTAAGAGCCATAATAAACCTTCTTACTTAATTGATAAAGGAATAACTTGGGCAGGAACAGGCAAAAGTGCCTATCTTTTCCCAAAAGACCTCTGAGGGGCTGGAGATAGTCTTACCCCAATTGGTGCTCTAGACTGACAGTACTCCTGCTAGACAGGAAATTGAGAATGTCGATAAGATGTGTGTGATCACTTTCCAATAGTATGAACGGGATTCACTAACATTCTTACATAACTTAAAAGATACATTGTGTATTAACTATGGTCTTGAGAAAATTATCTCTGTCAAAAAAAAAAAATACTGTTATTTTCACTAGCCATAGAACAAGTCTCCTTACAAAGGGGGCTGAATAAGCAACAAAATTGCCACATAAAAAATAATCTGTATTAAAAAGACAAAAAAAAAAAAGTAAAAAGGGGCTGGGGATTTAGCTCAGCGGCATAAGCGCCTGCCTTGCAAGCAGGCAGTTGTGAGTTCGATCCCCGGTACCGATAAAAAGGAAAAAGACAAAAAAAAAAAAAAAAAAAAAAAAATAATAATCTGTATCTCCATTTTTTATTCTCTCCCTGTTTCTGTCCAGGATGAATTTATATCTAAAATGCTGGCCAAAGAAAATCTGTCATCGTTGCATGAAAAGTTATTTAATGTAATAGTAACCAAAAAAGTATATGTATGTATATACATACACATGTGTGTGTATATTATATATTCTCTCTTGATGAGCATCCTCCCTACTTGATCAGATTGGTCATTTCCTTTACTGTGTATATACACGGTTTGAATATCTTTCTGTTATCGTATTTGTTATATCGTCCATAATCATTGTCAGTACATTATGGGGCTTTAATGTATGTCTGCTGTATTATACTTGAAGAGAAGGTCTCCATCTTATTCATCTCTGATTTGAACAGAATTTGGCAAATAATAGATGCTCAGTGAATTGAATCTGCTGACTTTCTAGTTGGAATCATATTTAAATTTCTGAGAAAAAATAAAAAATAAAATCTGCAAAAAAGAGCATTTCTCCTCTCCTCCCCCAAAATAAAATAAACACCAATTTTCAGAAGAATAGATTGAGGGAACCAAACTAAACCATTAAGAAACCAGAGAATGTATAAAATGGGATTTGCCCAAAACACTTCCAATACCCAAACTGTCTGCCAGTTGCATTGTTCTCAGTTCAATATGGGTGCCCCTGCCAAACACAGGATGTGGTAAAAGAGACAAGATGGAGCATGGAATCTTCCAAACATCCGGATATCTGAAAACACCCAAATGTTTATACCGGATGCCTCAAAGGCTTTGCCCAATGAGGCACAGTCATTGAGAGAACTTTGACCACTGATGTTTACTTCCCACCTAATGTTCCTTGTGTTCTTTCAAGCCTTATAAAAAAGCCCGCTTCTCTTTGATCTCTGCTGACTGTCTTTTCACCCTCTGCGTGTATCCAGACACAATAAATTCCATGCCATGTTGCCTTTACACAAGCGTGGGGGTCTCAGCCAGTCCCTACCTTGAGCCATTCCTTACAGAATGGACCTTCAGGGCACTACCAGCACTGAAAAGTCTATCTGGTGCATGAGAAAGGTCTTTTATGCCCTATTTTTTTTTTTTTTTTTTTTTTTTTTTACTCCTTAGTTCTTATTACTTTTTTTTTTTTTTTTTGGAAGACAATGAAGTCAAATATGGCAAAACAAAGCTGTCAGTCAAAACCAAGGATAGACATAGTACATGATGTAAGAACAGAGTACAAGGTTATCAATAATGGTTACCATAATGTCTCTTGTTTCCATAAAATTATGCCCTATCTTGACCACATGGTTCAGTGCAGCTTCTTATCTCTGCTGCTAGAACACAAATCTGGCACATGCTAGACACAATTCATTATTGTTAAAGGAGGTAACTTTTTAAAATACAATTCTGGGGCTAAGGATTTAGCTCAGAGGAATAAGCACCTGCCTGGCAAGTGCAAGGTACTGAGTTCAATTCCCAGTACCAAATAAGACAAAACAACAAAAACAACAACAACCCCCCCCCAATTTTGTTTTGATAAGAACAGAACTGGAACCTATCTTTGTAACTCAGGACTATGTCCTTTTTATTACTAACCTAGGTTCTCCCTCCCAATTAAATGACTGAAGTACTATAATTTAACTTTCAATACAAGATTCTCATTTATGAAACAGATACATATGATGCTCTTCTTGGGAAACTGCACTCAGGAGTAAGTCCTAGAAATCTAAAGTAAGTGCTCATTTCAGCAGCACATATACTAAAACTTGAACGATACAGAGAAGATTAGCATGACCTCTGTGCAAGGATGACATGCAAATTCGTGAAGTGTTGCATATTTTTTTTCTGTCGGACCATTGAACAGAAAAATTTGCACTGCCAATGTCTGAGTGTCTAGCCACGTTTTGTGCTTTGATTTTGTGACTTTGGCAACTATTTTTAAGATGACAATGTGCAATGTATCAACTAGCAATTTTATGACATTAATTTTTTTTGAATTCTGTATTGTTCTACCTTTTTCTGTTTTTCTATTTTGTTTTTTTTCTTTAATTTTCTTTTCTTTTTCTTTAAAAAAGATAACAATATGCAATATAATAACCATTGTTAAATTTCTTTCCTTCTGTTTTGAAAGCCTATATTATTATTGTTTTGAGTTTCTTGTTGTTTGTCTCTTTTGCTTTTTGGCTTTTTTTCTGACTTCTTTTTTCTTTTTAAAATAATTAATAAAAAAATTTTTAAAGAAATCTAAAATAATACTTACATACTTATAAAAACAAAATGTCTTTGGTACTGAGGGCAAGAAAGGCAAGTCAATAATTTTACTCAATAATACCACAATTTTATTCAATAATATCCTATTTGTACAGCACTTTATTCCAAAAGTTCCACACACTATATAGCTGTTCACTGATTCTAATTCTCTTGACAAAATGTATTACTAGTTGGGGAGGGGGCAAATATATTCACCTAATAGACTTAGAAACTAAGATACATACCAACTAAGTGATATGCCACGATCACTGGATTCAATTCATTAATTTAATTCAATAAACATTTATTAAGTACCTATCATATGCCATGCCTTTTCTAGACACTTTCCATGAATCTGAAGCAGAAAAGAACACTAACCTCTTAGGCCTTATATTCTAGTTGGGCAAAGAGACGTAGAGTATAAACAATAAACAAGTACCGAGTAAGGAGGATGTAAAGTACGCAGAGTTGAGCAGGGAAGCAGGAAGATTTAAGAGAGTTCAGAGTTAACCTGTTTGAGAAAAGAAACTTGAAGAAAACTTTGAGAGACAGGGGTATCACTATCCTGAGGGAGACCATTCGAATGCACAGAAACAGCTAGAACAAAAGCCCTCAAGCAAAATGATTTGGCCCATTTACAGTAAGGAAGCTAATTTGGCTGAAACAAAATGAGAAACAATAGGGTAAAAATACAACACAGAGGTCCAAATGACACTGATTTTTTTTTTGGTACTGAGGATCAAACTCATGACCTTCACTTCGCCAGGCAAGCAACTGAGCTAACTGCCTGGTCCAAAATAGATTCTTTAAACAAAGATTCAGTAACATAAAGAGTCTTTGCAAAATTTTGAGTAGAGAAATGATAGAATCTGACTTAGTCTTTGTCTTTTTGACTTTTACTTTTCTCTCTCATTGTTGAGACAAAATACCTGATGCCTAAAGTTAGGGAAGGGGAAGTTTATTTCTTACAGGTTGGAAGTTTGAGTCCATACTCAGTTGGCTCCAAGGCACAATGACATGGCTGAGGGGCAGCGGTTCATGACAGCCACAAACAGCAAGCCTGAACAACAGAAGAGAGAGACATACCTTCTTCCCGTCTTTACACTGTATGCTAGCTCCACCTCTGGGAAGGTGTAACACTCATACCACTAGTCTGAGCACCAGACAATGAACCCATCACAAATGCCAGATTCAGCCATGTCCATGATCACATGAGACTTGGGTGGGGTAGGCTTCGGACATAAACCATGACAGTCTTAAAAGATCATTCAGAAAAGACCAGTTAGAGGCTATTATAGTGAAACAGGCAAGACTTAGTTCTAATGAGGTCTGATATCAGATGGTGAGAGGTGGTCAGACTCTAGACATACTTTGAAAGTAGAGCCAACTGGATTTATTGGGTGATTAGATACAAAATATGAGGGAACAAAAGAAAAGCCCAGAATGACACCCAAGTTTTTGGCCTGAGCAAAAGAAAAGCTAGAATTGCATCACCAAGACAGAAAAGTTGTAGATAGAACAGATTTTAGGTGGGAGGCTCAGGAGTTCAGTTTTAGCAGTGTTAACTTTGAAATGTCTGTTAGACATGCAAGTAGAAATCTACAGAAGGCTGCTGGATATACAAATCTGGAGCTCAGAAGAAAAGTTTAGGCTGAGGCTACAAATTTGAGAAATGTTAGCATGTAAATTGAGGGTATTTAAGGCCATAAGCTAAGTAATACCACTAAGGAAATGAGCATAGAGGAAAAGAGAACCAAGCAGTGGACCCTGGGCATGGCAGGCTAGGGAAAAGAAAAGGAATCAGCAAAGGAAAAGCTGCAAACTAACCACCAAGAAATTATGAAGTATCCTGCAGCTAAGTGACTAAAGTATATGAGGAAAATGGATAAAGAAGAGATCACGTACTTTACTAATGGCAGCTAAAAACTTTAGTAATTTGAGACAGACAAAGATTAAGAGCTGATCATTGAATTAAACAAAAAAATCAGGGCTGCGATGTAGTTAGTGGTAAAGTGCTTGCCTAACGTGTATGAAGCCCTGGGGGCAGTCCTCAGGATCAAAATAATAAGCAAATAACAGCAATCATTAATGAACTATGGGACATGTGGTACACCTCTGTAATCCCAGCACTCTGGAAAAGTTAAAGCAGGAGGACTGCTTCAAATTTGAAGCCAGCCTGGCTACAAAGTGAGTTCAAGGTCAGCCTGAAGAACATAGCAAGACCCTGTCTTAAAAAAACGAAGAACATAAAACCCTCAATAATGACTTTGATAAGAGTGCTATGGATAAAGCAATGGAGATAAAGGCCCAAGTGGAATGAGTTTAAGAAAGAATAAAAGGAGAAGTGGAGCAAGTGGATATAGGCAACTCTTTGAAATTGTTTTGCTATGAAAAAAGAGAAGAAAATTAGGCAGTAGTTTGTGGAGGTGAGTATGGAAAGAGTATTTATTAGGTGTTTTTTGCTTTTCTAAGAAGGTAAAAAAGAAAGTAAGCTTTTATTCTCATAAAATGATCCTACATCAAGTAAAAATTTGACGATATAAAATCAACAGGGGAGAATAACTGGACAATATATGTAAAATGGGACCTTGGACACCGGTAGAGGGCTCCATGGGAAGGGAACACTGATGTTCCATCCAAGCTGGCAATAACACAGGCTGGAAGGATACTTGAGTGTTGATGCTGGCGGGTAGAAGCTGACAAAAGTTTTCTTACTACTTCAGTTTTCTGGATAGAGAAGGAATCAACTATAAGTGAAGATAATGAATGAAATTTGGGCATCTGAGAAGATATGATAAAGTGTTAAAATAATAACCTACAGAATAAAAGTATGCATGAACACAAAACAGTATGATTGCCTGGCATCATTAAATGTTTGCTTGAGGTTTGTAGTCATGAATTTAAATAGGACTAGTCAGAAAGGCTATATACTGTATTCTAATGCTATACTGTTACACTTATATGTAGGAACAAAGGAGAGAGCAAGACTTAAGCAAGATTGGATTTAGCAAGAAAGGGAAGGAGATACACGGGGACTATTATAACGATCAACCATGGAAAGCAAGGTGAGTAAGAATGGTGGTAGAAGAAACTGAGATATCAAAAGGCTGGAAGTACCGGTAGGTTCAAAGAATTGTTGTGGTAAAGATCCTAGGAGAGACCTAGAAACTTAGGGGAGTTGTGGTCAGGAAATGAAATCATGGAAGGAATGCAATTCTGGTAATGATAAGAGCTAGGTAAGGATTTTTCAGTCTTGGCACATTGAATTGGGAGAGAGTTAGTCAGGGATTAAATCCAGGATCTTTGTCCTGAGCTATATCCCCTGGTTACTTTTTTTTCTTTTTGGATAGGATCTCACTGTCATTAAATTGCCTGGGCTAGGCTCAAAATTGAGATTCTCCTGCCTCACCCTCCCAGAGAGATTACAGGCATGTACCACTATGCCCAGGTGGGCACACTGACATTTTAGATTAGAAAATTCTTTGTTGTCTGGGACCAGCCTGTGCATTGCAGTTGTTTAGCAGCATCCATGACCTCTGCCTATCAGATGCCAAACACCAGCCCTGGAAGTTGTGACAATCAAACATGTCTCCAGACTTTGAAAAATCACCCTAAATTCAGGACCATTGATCTAGCAGGTTAAGTAGTTGAATTCTCCAGGAAAAACGATCGAAATAACCCAGGAAACAGGAAAACCTATGATTACCCATGATTACATCAGAATTACCAAAGGTTAGGACAAGAGTGGTACCTAAGAGGGACTAGAAACCACAAAGGTCAAAAATAAAGAAAAGGTCAGTAGGTGATAAAAATTAAGAGAAGTGAATGACATAATCTGATAAGATTTAAAGCTGATGGTTTATCATCTTCAAAATACATAGTGGTAAAGCTGGTGCTAGAATTTAGGCTTCCTTCCTAGAGCTTTTTTAAATGTCTAGAAGGTGGGCAGACAACACCTCCACATGATTTCATGTTCAATTAAATTAGACCTGCAGAGTCAAAAATAGGGGTCAGCCACAAACAATTGGCACCATTTCTGGCTGCTATCTATAACAAACAGCTGAAAGCACATATTTTTGGCTGCATACTATCCTAAAAATAGGACGTAACATCTTGGTTTTTAAAATACCCTCAATTGTCATTCTGGCCTTTAAAAATATTTTAGTGCCTTTGATTAGAAAATAAATACCATTTATTAAATGAATGCATTTATCTGTTCACTACAGAGCTATCATAACCAACATTTTCCTTAGATAGCCAGTCACCTTTATGCTTATACAGTCCAACCATCAAGGAGAACACAAAGGCCTCAATATTAAATGAACCGATTTGCAGTGTTTTCCAACTGTGCATCACCTGCTCCTCTCACTGCCACCTGGAAAGATATCATTTCACCAGACGGAAAGCAGATTTAGAGCAAATGCCGAATTTTCATCCCCACCTCCTTAAAACATATTTACAAGGGAAGTACTTGAAATAAATAGATGTGTCCCCTTTAAAGGAGGAGCAGCTGCAAGATAGGAAATTCAAACTGTAGTGTTGTTTATTAAGTTGTCCCATATGTACTCTCATTTCAATAATTAAGTCTTTAGGCCACATACAAGGTGGGCTCGGTGAGCTTTGACAAACCCATATGCAGAATTTTATCCTGTTATGACTAGAATGAATTTAAATTTTTAATACATAAACATGAAACACAAAGATGATGTCAAGGAAACACATGATGCTATCATCTGAGTTCTGCTTGACTTTATAGATTACCTAATCCAATATTTAAAGCTCACACAAAATAAAGATAAAAATCCTCTCATTTCAAGTCCCAAAGCATTTATTAGCACTTGTCAGAGCTCACCAATGGTATAAATATTTACATTTGTTACACAGTGCTATTGCAATGACTAAGGTATTTTCATGTATCATTTCTAAACTTGATGCTGCTTTTAGAAAAAGGAAAAGAAAAAACTTTCTGAATAAGAATCAGGATTTTAATCTCAGCTTCATCACATATTGGCTGTTACATTACCAATTGGTTTTATTTATGGTATTAGTCACTCAGAAGAAAAATTCTATGTATTAGTTCTGACCCAGTCATTGTTCAATAAATGAATAGTGTTAATTAAAACAAGTTTCTGAGAATGATAAGCTTATAGCTAAACCTCTCTACTTAAAAGATGAAAACAATATCTTGATGTTATGATACATCATGAAGTGGGGCTCCTAGCAGTTTTAGTCTTTATTTATAACACAAATGAACACAAAGAGCTGATGCCTACCTTCCAAACTTTCTTGTTCATCAGAAGTATAAGCATCCATCTGACTTTGTTCCCGTAAGAAACGAATGACCGCATAAACGAGGTGCTTGATAGATGACATTTTAGAAGTTTAAACACTTCCTTAATAATAAAAGTGAAAACAAGTTCTCAATTATAATAAAAAGCAAGGACTATATTATTAAAATAAAGGCAAAAAACCCCAAAATCTTGCATTACGTTGATCTGTTTGGTCAGGAGAGTACAGAGTACTGTTACAGTAATTTGCTACATTTTAAAAATGTAAACTTAGTATCGAACTATGCTTAATCTTGGATTAAGATTTTTTCCAAAAACATGTAAACCATTATCTTAGACTCTCACTACATCGTAATTATATATGTAGTATGGATACAGAAAAGAAGTATGAATATAGATATAGAAATCCCAAAAAGGCCTTGTCCTAAATTGAAGATTTCATACTGCTGACTCAGAAACTGGTGCACAATAAGCATCTTCACCTAGTACATGAGATTTTTTAAACTACTTTCCTTAGTTGACAGTTACCCTCTGAGGAAATAGACTTGAGAAAGGCAGTTCTATCATTGAGTGTCATTCTCAGAAAAACAGCATTTCTGTGTAATCAAGAGACAGGTCAGGAAATCGGTGCCTACACCAATGATACCACAAACGGAGCAGCGCTGTCCGCAGCAGCCGCTCTCCTAGAGAGGTTGGCGCGGGCCCCGCTCATTCACCGAGATGCGAGCGCCTCCTAAGAGTGGCGCGGGACGAGCTGTTCTCCACTAAATCGCATCCTCCGCCTGCTCCCCGGGTTCCCTAACTCAAAGCCAGGATGTGGTGCCCGCCGCTAGGATGCTTGCTAGGATGCCTGTTATCCGTGCACCGCTTTTAAAGGCAGCCCAACCTCTAGGCCACGACGTGATCACAAACCCTAATTGGGGCTCCAGCGCATAATGTGAAAACAGAAAAAAGGGGAAAGGCAGCGAGAGGAAAGGAGCCACCCACCACCTGCACGCCTCCTCTCCCGCCTCTCCTCCGAGCACGTCCACCCCTACTCCTAGCCGCCCTCGCCTCAGCCCCTAAGGGGTTTGCAGCGGGTGCGCGGCGCAGGCCTCGCCTGGGGCTGGGGGAGACGCACCACTGGCAGACAGAAGCATCTTACCAGAAAAGAGGACGCGGGACGAAGGCTGCGGGCCTGGAGGCTTCCGTGAGCCGGTTCGCCCGCCCCTTCGACCTCAGGAGTGGAGCCTGGCTCAGGATCTCCGCTCTGGCCTCGGTCGCCCAAACTTCCCCACTCCCTACACGGCCACCCACCCAGCCCACCCGGCCGCTAGCTCAGCTCCGGGCGGCGGAGTCTGGCTGGATCCGCCCCTGGGGCGGGCGGGGCCGGGCGGGGCCTTGCGGGGGGGGACGGGGCGGGGCCTTTGCGGGGACGGAGCGGGGCCGCAGTGGCGCCGGCGTGGGGTTGGCGCACGTGGGAGGGCGCCAGTGGGGCGGTTGTTAGCCGCCGCCGCTGTGGCCTTGCGAGTTGGCCTGGCTTTTGCCTTTCCTGTACCGGAACGCAGCCGTCTGCCTTCTCCAGCCGCAAGTCGAAGGACCCCGCGCCCGCCGCCGCTGGTCTCTCGGCGTGCCCGTGATCGCCCCGTGCCTTTCGGTGGTGCGAGGCCTCCACAGGTACTCACGCGCGGGTAACCTTGACCGCGGGCAGGGCCAGTCTTCTGCGCGGGCCGTGCCGGCGCCCGGGCGCAACAGTCTCGCATCCCACCCGCGCCCTGGAGCCCTCAGTCCCCGCAGCGTGCGGGCCGCGCCCCTGGAGACACCTGCCTGGCGACTTGGGGCCACCTTTCTCTCCTCCGTTCCCTCGGGAGGGCATCCATTCTCCTTTGTTCGGGACTGCCTCAGCTGCAGTCAGCGAGACTGGTCACAGACCCAAACCGAATGAATGCAGAAGGAAGGGCTGGGTTTGAAAATGCTCTCCACTCCCGCCCCCAATCCACAACTGCAGACCTGGCACTAAGAGTGCCGCAGCTGTGAACTCAAGGATAACAATTCTCATTTGTCTATCTTGCACCATATTAGTATTCTAATCCTTTCACATCGGTACGTGAAAACGCTTTGCTTTTGCCGTGTAATTCCGCCCATGCTAATTTTTTTTATTTTATTTTGGTTTTTTTATTTTGTTTTAACATTCTATGCATAGAAGAAATATTCTGTCTATTGTCCGGGCAAATTGACTGGGCCCACTGTTACTCCTTAGATACAGTTTTGGGCAGCCTTGGCTGCTGTATTGGATTGCTTCCTAGCTTTCTAACCACACCTCTCTGCAACACACCAGTAGCAAGATGGGGAGAGAATTAAATTCTTTACACAGATGCCCTGGTTTTAGGAAACAGTGCCGCCACCCATTCCCAAATCTGCCCAGAACTGTAAATCCAGAGAGTCAATAGAAGAAAGGGAAGGTTTGTTTTCTGCTGAATACCTATAAAACTACTCTGAAATATACATGTCAGCATTTAAGGTTTTTACAGCTTGCTGTAAAATGACAGGGCCACTTGTCCATGTGGAGCTTTCTGTTGCTCAATCCTTGCAGTTACTGTGCATCCATAAAACAATGGTAATTATAGAGTTAATGTGATGGTTGTGATTATATTTTTAAGCTGCCCCCTTTTTTTTTTTGCTAGTCTCCAGGCTAGAAGTGGTATAGTTCTCCAATAAAGCTATGCCACCAAATGAAGGCATTTGCATAATGCAGGTGTGAAAAGACAGACTAAATCTTCAGACAGCAGTTCTCTAACTTTTTTTATTTTGGTCTCAGAATGTAACAACTTGCATGTATGTGAGTTATATGTGTATACTTAATTTATTAAGAAATTAAAATAGAATATTGTTAAAGTACTAGTTTATAAAACAGTAATAAATGCATTAATCAATATTTTATTTACCCATTCATGATCAATGAATATAAGATGCTTCTGCCTTTTGACTGTTCTGAATACTGCTTTGATGCTGGGGTGCAACTACTTGAGAACCTGCTTTTAATTCTTTGTGAGCTATGGCTGGAAGTGGAAATTGCTGGATAATTTATTAATCCTATGTCTGATATCTTAACCCTGGCTATACATTTTTACATTCTCATCAGCAGTACATAGGCTGGCATTCAGTTGCTCCACAGAGTGACGAATAGTACTGTTTTGCATTTTTTTCAAAACTAATGTATGATTTAATATAAGATATTCTGCTTGTTAGATCTACCTTGGCATCTAATCTGTTGCTCTGTTTTGTTTTGCTTTTAGAATATGGAGAGCCAAGCATGGTGGTGCATACCTATAATCTCAGCTCTCTGATAGGCCAAGACAAGAGGACTACAAGTTCGAGCCCAGCCTAGGAAACAGTGCTTTAGCAAGACTTTGTTTCAAAATAAAGCATTTATAAAGGGCTGGGGATGTAGCTCAGTGTGAAGGCCCTGGATACAATCTCCAGTACTAAAGGGGGGTGAAAATGAAGGAAAGCCTGCCTCACCCTTATATGTGGAGGAAATATTTCAATAGCTTTTAATAACAAAATCACAGATACTTAATATATATAATATATAATATACAGATACTTAATATATCACCACAGTTCAGCAAATGGTAGTTTTCCAAAGTTCACTTGCAAAGTGGAATCTGAAATCATCAAAGTGCTTTACTTACTGTTTCACTAAAATCAGTTGGTATATCTTATATTTTGAGTGGGTCTTCTACTCATACTTGATTTTGTAATGTCAAATTGAAATCATTTGGAAATTAGTGGTTCAATGTGTTGTACATATATCTTCCTAATGTTGACATGTTTCATTATTAGGTATCAAACAATCATTCTTTAATGTCCTCATCTGTCTCAACAGAGGAGTCTTCAAATGTTACCTATCAAGCTCATTGTGAAATAGAGTTTTCCAAAATTCGATTTTCACTTGAAAGCTGTAATTTTATCATTAGAGACACCTTACTGTCAGTTTTTTTTCCTAAAAGTGAGCTTCACTTGTTACATTTTTTACAGAATTCTGTCAGATCAGAATAATCCTGATTTGATTGTCAAGTAATTTGTTCAAGGGGGTATTCCATGACAAAATAAATTAGCAGTTTATTCAGCTGTACCAGTTCTTTGGATTTCGACAGCCAGATCTCCTGGACAACCACTAAACTTAGATTATGCAGCAGAGGTGGTCACAAAAACATACTAAAGGGTTGAAATTTATTCACAATTTTTTGATAGTACTGGAAATTGACTCCAGCATCTTACACATGCTTGGCAAGTGCTCTACTATTGAACTATATCCTCACCTTTTTTTTTTTTTTTTTTTTTTAAATTTTGTGGCAGACTCTCACTATGTTGCCCGAGCTGGCTGGGCTCAAAATTGGATTTCTCCTGCCACAGCCTCCCAAGCAGCTAGGATTGCAGATATGTATCATCATGCCTGGCCCCACTGGACCTCTGTCAAGTTTCTTATTTTGTAAAATAAAAAAGACCAGATTAAATTATATCTAAGGTTTTTGTCTCCTAATTCTAAGTTGCTATGGGAATTAAACTAGGAGAATTCCCATCGTACCTCAACCAATTGTGCAGCATGTGACTCTAGCAAAATTTAAGGTCTCATGCAAGGTAGAGGACAAAGTCAAAGAAACAAACAGCAAGATTTATTCAACCATATTAGGCCAAATTATAGCTCTGATAATCCTAATTTCTTTCAATAAAAGAAGTTTGGTTAAGTTATAACAATATATATTCTGTATAGAAAACTCAAAAAATAATGACACAAAGAAAATATTAAAAATATACATGCACAGACTGCATATCCAAAAGTACTGATTGTTAACAGACTTCAAAAATTTCTTTTATCTCCAGCCTTTTTATTTTATTCATTCATTCATTAAATTTTTTTTTCTTTTTTTTTTTTGGCACCGGGGGATCAAACTCATGATTTTACACTTGAGAGGCAGATGCTTCCACTGCTGAGCTAAACCCTCGTCCTCTCCAGCCTTTTTAAAACAAACATGAGTTTGCCATACTCTAATCTTTAAAGTAATATAAGCATACATTTATTTCAGTAGCTACAGTTTACTGGAGATATTGGGAATTTGGTTAATCCTTACCTTTGTTATGTCACCTATTTCCAACATTTTTATGAATAACGGTGCTTGGATAAATATTCTTTTTTTTTTTTTTTTTTTTTTCTTGGATACAAGGTCTCGCTATGTAGGCAAGGCTGGCCTTGAACTCTTAGGGGATATACCTGCTTCAGTATCCCAAGTGCTGGGATTACAGGTGTATGCCACTATGGCCAAGTCTTAATTATTTTCTTATAAAAATTCTCAAAAACGAAATTTTTATATCAGAGCACAATTTGTGTATCAGCTACTTTCAGGCCTTTGGTATTAATTATCATACTGTACTCCAAAAAATTTCTCACAAATTATACTAAACCATCCAAATATGTAAGCACTGATTTTCCCATCTTTACTAACACCTGAAAATTTTAGTAATTTTTATCCTTCCCAATTTGATAAGTGGAAATTTCTTGTAATTTCCATTTCCTTCCATTTTTTGATAGTTTGCTTGCTAAGTATAATTCCTTAACAAAATGCAGCACTGTGGTCTAGAAGCCAAAAACATTCTTTTCTGATATAAAATTTTAATCATGGGAAAATACTAGACAAATTACAGTTATTAAAAAATTAATAATTATATATCTGACTATAATTAAAATAGGCCATTGCCTTAAATCCAATAGGTATAACTTCCAAAAGTTTACGATAGTAGTATGAGAGGAAATAAAGAAATAAAGAAAAGCTACTGTCAAAAACTAGACTGAGATTATTTGTAAAAATGGACAAAAAGGGGTTTTGTTTTGATTGTTGGTTTTATTTACCCCCTTGTTTTGTTTAGAAACATCCTGATACTTTCACAGGTTTAAATAGTATCTCCTCTTTGGTTAAGATATTACACAGAACAGTGGAGGCAAACCTATGGCACATGTGCCATAGCTCGCTGTTTGTTATCATTGAGAGTGACAAAAGGTTCGCCATCATTGAATATTAAAGATGTAAGAACAAAGGAAATTGATATTTATTGAGTACATACATATATCTCTAGCTCTGCATGGCAAAGGGCATGTAGCATGATGGTTTAGACCAGACGTACTAGGTCCAACCAACTAGCTAAGTTGCTGAATAGCCCTGTGATTTTAGGCAAAAACACCTACCGATGTCTATTTACAGATTCATAAGTAGGACTGATTGGCAGGTTTCTTCAGTCATGGGTATCATAGATACGGGGTTACAGCAATGAACAAAGCAAACCAAAATCCTTGTGTTGATTGACTTTCCATTGTAAAAAAAAAAAAACAAAAAACAGAACCAAGGAAAGTGGTGCATATCTGTAATCTTTGCGTTCTGAAGGCTGAGGCCTTTGGAATCGTTCCAAGTTCAAAGCCAGCCTAGACTCTACAGTGAGTACAGGGCCTACCCAGGGAGATCCTGTCTCACAAAAAAAAAAGAAAGAAAAGAAAACTGTATTGGTTACTCTTCTCTGGTTGCTGGGACAAAATACCCAATACTCAAAATTAAGGAAGGAAAAGTTTATTTAGCTTACAGTTTGTGGAGGTTTTAGTCCATAATCAGCTGGCTGCAAGGCAA